ACCTCTCGAGGTCCCTTCCAGTCCTAGAATCTATGAATCTATGAATCCTTTCCAATGTGACTTCCAACTGAGTTCTTGTTCAGTTCAGGTGTTATTGCAAGAATTCTCATAATTTTCTCACATAGAAACTAGTACAAAATTATTACTGGAATGTAATGTATCCCAGCGGGATTCAAGGTTGTTATAATACTCTATAATGTTCCCCAATGGGGAAGATGTGGTTAGACCAGAACGTATTTTGGAGATAGGCTTATATTGAAAAAACTTCGGAATGATATCTGCACAGTAACCAAATAGTTGAATATAGTGTCCCCGTGCTCTTAAAACAGGCTATAATAGGAGTACTTGCTAAGTATTTGAGCCCTGATCCTGCAATCTGATTGAAGTAGGAGAACCTTGTATCAGCCTGGTGCCTCGTTGATTTCCATTGGGCTCCATATGGGCACAAGAATCTCTTGCGTGGATCAGATTGTGAGATTGGGGATTTAGAGGCCAAGGCACATAACGGCTTGTTTGATGTGCTGCTTTTCATGGATTGGCTGGTTATTGTTCAGCAGAGGAGAGCTTTTCTTCCAGCACTTCTGTATTATCTTCCATACTTATTTTGCCCAGTTTATTATCAGTTAGCTTGCATTTTTGGTTGAAGGAAAGATACCAAATTTGATAAGATTTGACACTTATATTTTGATTACATGGACAACTGATGGAAGAAGAAGAGGTCAATTGAAGACCTCTTGGAAGGTGATTGTGTGGAGTGGGATTGAGTGTGTGCAGTCGTGATCAGTCACAGAACTTTTCTTTATTCCCTTTCTATCCTTTGTTTTCCTTTCATGATCTCTGTTCTCAGTTTATTGGGCTATTGTTTATGCATATATATTGCACTAGCTGACAGTAGGTACAGAATTGTTATTTTAACCTGAAATAATGCTTCAATATATTCAGCACAGTTGTATGACAGCCAGTTCTGGATGCTGGAACTGTATGTTTTTAAAAGTGTAATTTAAGTATTCAGTAATTGAGTGTTCCTCCATAATTATTGTAATACCTCTTTTGTTCACAGGAACAGTCATGCTTTAGTCTGAATCAATTTTCAGCATCATGTAAGAGTTTTGAAGGCTCTCAAAATATTTCTAATACAAACCTCCTTAATAAAAGAACCAAAAGCATATACACTCCACTAGAACTCCAGTTCATAGAAATGAAAGAACAGTATAAAGATGCTATTTTGTGCGTGGAATGTGGATATAAGTATAGATTCTTTGGAGAAGATGCAGAGGTAAGTAACTTTTACCAAGAGCACTTACTGTTGCTCACCTTATATTACTTTGTTACATTGTGTGTAGGGCCACTGTCATTGATAACCTCAATTTAAAAAACTTTTTCTAACACTTGTAATCAAGATTCAAAAGATCTGCCCTCTTTAAATCTAAAGGTGTCCATTACAAATTGTCTTTGTACCACATAAAAGGTACATCAATATTTACAGTATTCCCTATTTGAAGTATTGACAAATTAGCAAATATTAGATACTACAATAACATTACCTTGTTTACCGAAGTTAAACTGAAGAAATTAAGGGTGAACTGTATTATGGCATAGAACTAATGATCAGAATAAAAATATTTAGCTTGACAGTAACCTGATGATTTCTTCTGAAAAATGCAATGTCCAAGTGCCCTAATTGCATATATTTGTGCAAATAGCGACTACCCTCATTAATAGAGGGCTATATAGAAATTAATAGGGGATGTTTGACACAATTGGGTATGAAATTGTATCTGGTGCTTTATCTGCACAACTGTAATCTATATGAACAGGTAAAAATTTCAAAGGAACGTGGCTTACATGTCTGCAAACTACAAAATGGCCAATAAACATCCTTTCTCTCATCTCTCTAAATCATTAATACTGATTTAGCCTTTGTGCTGAGCTATTTCCATATATAATTAGGAGCAAAGGGAAAATTACTTTTGCTTAGCCATTGGAGGCTTCATTTTTCCAGTTGTCTTTGTTCTGGGTATTTGGTCTGTCAATTTGCTAGCAGATTTACTGTCCTGAAGCCCATTCAGGTTCGTTAAAACCCATCTGCTTGTCCAGAACACAGAGCTGGCATCTAGAAAGAAAAATGTCTGAGTCGTTGTGTAATGTCATGTTTCTAGCAGCTGTTGTGATTTTATTCATGTGAGGGCGCTTGGATGCTACTGTAGAAATGCAGTTTCAAGGGTTAGATCAGGGGTCGGCAACGTTTGGCATGCGGCTCGCCAGGGTAAGCACCCTGGCGGGCCGGGCCAGTTTATTTACCTGCTGACGCGGCAGGTTCGGCCGATCGCGGCCCCCACTGGCCACGGTTCGCCGTCCTGGGCCAATGGGGGTGGCAGGAAGCCGCGGCCAGCACATCCCTCGCCTGCGCTGCTTCTCGCCGCCCTGATCGGCCGAACCTGCCGCGTCAGCAGGTAAATAAACTGGCCCGGCCCGCCAGGGTGCTTACCCTGGCGAGCCGCGTGCCAAACGTTGCCGACCCCTGGGCTAGATAGTTATTTAGGCTTATCAAGGTAACATAACTTACACTGCCTTCTTATACTGGACTTCAATGGGAACTCTTTGGCCCTTGGTATTCATTCAAGCTATCAGTTGCAGGGTGGATTGATTTAAGTCAGTGGTTTCAATCACTGATTTAAAACATATTTTTAAGCAGGAAACCTTGATTTAAATTAACAATTTTAATCCTGTTTTGCTTCTGTACTTTTTAGTTACCTTTGTAAAGAAAGGTTCATTCTCATTGGTTGGTAACCATTTAAACAGGTTGATTTGCAACTAATTATAGCCAACTAAATTTGGTACTTCCTTTTGTTAACCAGAATGGATACACTATATCAGCACATATTTATTTAAGCAGTTATATAACTTAACATACATTTATTCAGATTCTAATTTTTTATTTTTTTTTATTGTGTAAAAAAATGGTGAATGATGCATTTCTTCTTTACTAGATGATTAATTTTTTGGTTGTGTTTTGAGTCAAGCGCTCTGTAGAAATTAAAATTCATTTAAAGTGCACTAGTATTTTCAAATTGTTTTTATTAGTTCAATAAAACTCCCTTAATGTACTGGATACATTAAAAAAAAGTTTAGTGGAGTTTATCAAAACATATTTTGCATTTAAAGCTAACTGATTTATTAAACAAAGGAAGTATTATCTGTATTTAGTAAATTGAACTATTCTTTCAAGACTAGTAGATCTCATCCTTTCAAACCTAGCTTTTGTTATTCAATGATTATAAGAAGAAAACAAGCTTTCCTGCTTTTTTTCAACTTCTGATTGTTTTTTTGACTTGGAATGAATTGGTCATTTAACTGAACTAGTTAAATAAGAGTGAAGAAAATATTCCTTCTGCACCTGCAGAAGATGCCGCTGCTGTCAAAAACTCATTTAGCACTTCAGCTAACTCTGGTTCCAGGTGCTTAGCCAGTGACTTTCATCAGTTCAGTGGTTTGATGAGCTTTAAAACTTCAGCAGCAAATAGGTACCGCTTCTTATTTTTTGTATTTAATTTAAATTATTTTAATAGATTATAGTAATTTTAGGTCTTGAATGTAGCCTGTTGTATTTTCAATTTTAATTTTAAATGGGTTTATTTTAAAACAGAAAATGTATTTAATTTAAATAAAAAAAAACCAGTTTAAATCAAAATCATTTGATTTTTTTAAAAAGAATAATAGATTTTTATCCACCCTGATAAGTTGACAAGTAAAGCCTGTGGGAGTGGAGTCCTTTGTTCTGGTTAGGATGCTGAGACTGTGAACTCTTGCTTCATGCTTAGTCTTCTAGTACCTCTTCTTCTGCTTAGCATTCCACAACACACCGCCATAGCTTTGGTTAATAGCTGATTTCCAGTATTGTTTTTTGACAAGTTTGTATTCACACAACTCTATCATGGATCATCTATCATGTGATCATCTATCATCAGTTATCAAGGAAGCTAGACAGGGAATGTGAAGTAAGAGTGACCTGAATTGTTGACTGATTATTTTTTTCATACTTTGCAGATTGCAGCGAAGGAGCTAAACATTTACTGTCATCAGGATCACAATTTTATGACTGCCAGTATACCGACGCACAGACTATTTGTTCATGTACGGCGACTTGTAGCAAAAGGATATAAGGTCATTTTTGGATTTAATTAGATATTGTTAAAACCAAAATAGTCTCATTCCTTACCGAAAGAATTTGTTGATGTCATATAGATGTTGTCTCATTTTTTTGAAAGATACAAAATATGAAACCTTTTAATATTTTACTGGAAATACACATGACAAACTCCCTTTCATTCAATGCTTTCTATATGTAATGTCTTGGAATTTTTATGATTTTTAGTTATGTTGATTTAGGCCTCCTCTGTTGATCTCACAATATTTCAGGGTCCATTTAACTTTTCTGGAAGCAATTCTGCCTGTCAATGAGTGATAGAAAGTAGGACAGAAAGCACTTTCTCCATCTCTCTCTCTCTCTCTCTCTCTCTCTCTCTCCTTTCTGTTTTCCTCTCTTTTTTTTCTTCCCAACCCATATTTTCCTCTCTTCTTTCCCATTGTTGTTAATCTCTCTGTTGCTAATCTCTTTCCCTTCCTTTCCCCTTCATGCTCATGTGAGTCTTTTTTGTACCTCTTATCGCCTGATGTTCTGGTGAACTTTACTATATACAGTGAAAGAATTGTTGCAGCAGGTGACAGGTGGTCAACCTCTAAGCTAAGTTGTTTCAGTATAGAACGTGGGTCAGTAAGGGCAAGAGGAGAAAGGAAGTTGCAGGTAAGCTGCAATTCTGACATACTTGATAGGCTGAATTAGTAGGGCTGGTTCTAGCCCTTCTCCACTCAGAAGCACATTATGGTTTAATATTTGGATCTCTTAAATTAAATTTTTGTTGTTGTTTAAAGTTGGTTATCCATTTTTCATTCATCAGTTAACATTTTCTATTTGTGTATATTATAGGTGGGAGTTGTAAAACAAATGGAAACTGCAGCACTGAAGGCTGCTGGAGAAAATAAAAGCTCTCTGTTTACTCGAAAACTGACTGCTCTCTATACCAAATCTACACTTATTGGAGAAGATATCTTTTTTATGTGTTAATTATTTTGCTTTTATACTAACCTTCATTGTGCTCTGTGTTATGCAGTGTTCAGTATGAGTTGTGTGTTTGAGATTTCTTGCCATAGTCCTTCAGTATAAGAGAGCATGTTCCTGTTAAGTAATGGGAGTGGGTGGGAAGTGCTGACTGTTTTTTTCCCCTCTGCGTTGGGAATGTTCTGGCTGTATTGCACCTGTTGTCACTTCTGTATGTACAGCAGAAATTATTCAATAGGACTGGGAAATAGAGGATGGTGAAATGTTAAAACTGTCAATATTTGTGCGTTTCAGATGTTTTGCAATAGCATTGGAATCTATTGCGGGATTGCATTATTGGAACACTTTTTGAAAATGACAGTGCATCCAGTTCCAGTAGTTGAAAAAAAAAAATCAACCTCTGGAAATCAGCATCAGGAATTTTGTTGCTAGAAATGAGACTTCGAGAATCAAGGGCTTCCTCACCTTAACCTTTAATATTTTTGGGTATGCAGTAAACACGAGAGCAAAATTTTCTGTTCGCATAGCCCAGGGGGGAATTACTTATATGACAAAATAAAAATAAAAAAGTCAAATTGTAAATCCCTTATACTGGTGCATATTTAGTGGCCAACACTTAATATAAAAGGAAATCTATGGCAGCAGCAAATAATTTCTGATCGGTTTGCTGTTCTGTTAAGACAAGGCTAATGATACTCAAAAGTAGGCTGTGGACTTCATCCAGTTTTCATGAAGAATGAAATCTCTCAGGTTTTTAAGTGTGTTGCAATATAACAGAGATTACATCATCCCCACAGTTCGTTTTTTTTCCAAATGAGAAAATGGACTGCTAGGGTTTATGCTGTGCCTTTGGCGATGTCCTGACCAGCTTTTTGACCAGTTGGTAGGTGTAGCATTAGTAATTCTTAATTAGAGGTCTTGAAAGGGGGAAGGATTAAGAGTCTGGAGTCAGCACTTGGATTTAATTATGTTTAGAGGTGGATACAATTAAAACAAACACAAGTGGGTCCTATGGCCTAATAATGAAAGAGGGGAGAAGTACTATTGACACTGTAACAACAGTGTTTCATACAAAATGAGGTGAGCCTGAATCTAAAGCCAATGAGCTATGAAAAATCTAACATTGGTTAGCCTGCCCTTAATTCTTGTAACTGAAATAGGCTATCAAAATGAATTAAAAATGGCTTTTGACTAGCTCAGCTATTTCTTTCTACCTTTTACTTTGTCCATTTCTTTGTTTTTTGTGACCATCCCCAGCCAGCACCCACAGGTTCTTTTAAATTTTTCACACTAAGTAGTTATTAGGTACTTAATGCTAAATAAGAAAATTGACTTGACTTGAACTCACTAAACCAGGATGAGCTAGCCCTATGCAATGTAAGATGTGTGGTCTCATCCACTTCCCTCTTCTTGTGACTAAACCCACTGTCCTATCTACTTCCTGCTAGCTTTATAAAACCGCTCTTCAGGTTTGGTGCACTTGCCCTCTTTGTGAGGTCCTGTGTGCCAGGAGGGAGACAAGAGACAAAAGAAAACACATCATCTATTTATTTCTTGATTAGGTCATCCTAAAACTGCAGTTAGGGAAAGGGGTACTAGAAGTTAAAACCCACAAATCAGGGAAGCAACTTGCTGCAAAATTGTTTAATGGAGCAAGGGCATTATAATAAAATACTATTGTTGGTGTTTTTTTGCCGGAGACACCAGTGTGACTCTAGTTACTCTTGAAATGTGTTGGAAGGCTCAGGTAAAAGCCAGTGGAGTGAGGAACAACACTGAATGACTAACACCGTGCGTGGTTTGAATGGAATAAATAAATGCAGGTGATCTTTTGCTCTCTACTGCTACTGCTAGGACACTAGTGGTCTCCATTGCAGACTTGCTACTACATCAGGTCCTAGCTTCCTGGCCTGTGATGCTCATCAGCAGATTTTGCTCTTTATTGTCAATTGCACAAGTTTTACAAGCTGGCTAGTAGGCTACTTAGTCAAAGTGCTACTTACTGAGCAGGGATAGCACAAAGACAGTAGGGAATTTAGTATCTGCAACAGCCTACTATTGTTTGAATGGAAGACTGCAGACGTAGTATAAAGACTGGTGTTTTGTTGAGATGATGATATGTATGCATACACTGTGGGGCTTTGTCAGGGGGCATGGGCCTAAGGTCACCACTGACTTTGATTTTGGTGCTGTCAGGGATTTGAAATTGACCAGTATCACAGCACCTGAGTCAGTTTTATGTAGGAAGGAGGCTGTCCTCTGTCAAGTTGGTGTTTGTGCTGGGTAATATGTTTATCCCAGAAAAAAAATTGTTTTCAACAACCATGGCTGGTTTTATCCATGTGAACTATTTGTTGTTTTTTTTAATATTTATCAAATGTGAACCCCTTGCTGAAGCTAGATGATCCTGTAGATGTTGAAGAAATAACAGCTGATGTCTCTGATAACTATCTTCTTTGTATCTGTGAAAATAAAGAAAGCTTAAGAGACAAGAAGAAAGGGGATGTTGTCATAGGCATAATGGTAAGTTGTCTTCCTTGAGGAATCTGAGTTTGTGGTTAGGGCTTATTTTGTGATTTATCTCTGTGTTTTAAAATTCCTTTGTGATTGTCTCCCCTGACAGTAATGGTGTTTATAAGACATAATGCAAAGTTTTTAATGAATGGTATTTATATCTTTCAATTCAGTTGTGAATTGAATGAGACATTTTATATAAAAAATAATCAGAAACACTTGAGTTGATAGCCTGATTTATATATCAGGTATACAAGGCATAGCACTTTTGCTCATGCATAATTGCTTGAAAACAGTGTTTTATACAAATACAAAAAAAATACGTTAGAGTTAAAATATGTTTTGTAAATTATGTTTAAAATGTTATCCCTCGTAAGGGTTCAAAACGCTTACACTTGTTGCTGACTGCACCTGTTTCCTCAGTAAATTGCTCTTCCTTCACACAAGTTAGGAATGAGAGATTCACAGTCTTCTTAGACTTTAACTTCTGATTTTCCTTGGAGATTCTGAAATGAGAACTATATAACTGGGAAAATAGTGACTTAAATGAGAACTGACACTCTGCTGATAGTTCATTCATTCATTTTATTTACATGGTTTTTTATTGTACTTATCATTGTGATATCTGACCACCCCACTGTGTATCTGTCCCAGTTATAAGTGGTGGTGTACCGTGTCAGTCTGAAGATATTAGAGAGAGATTCGCTCAAAAGCTTGTCTCTCTCACCAACAGAAGTTGGACCAATAAAAGATATTACCTCAACCACCTTGTCTCTCCTCAGGTGTAAAAGCACATTTTAGAAAGACATCTCATTTTTAGGGAGAATCCTGTCTAAATTCCATAGATTTTCAATTAGGTGGATTTGCATTGCCCCTTAATAGTGGCAATGACATGTAAAATGAACCACTGCTATTAAAACTTCTTAACATATTTTAAGACATCATTATCATCCTGTTTAGTCTAACATTTGGGCTTTCAAAACTGTTAGGATAGGATCTATGTTCTCTACATTTGAAATATGTACTTACTTTTAATTTTCCAATGTCACCAAGAAATTGTGGGACTGGTGGAGTCATTGTTTTTGTGTAGCACACCATTAAGTGTGTGCGAAATTTCCTTGCTGATTTTTTAAAATCTTAACGGTTGACTAACCAAAACTAGTCTCTGAGCTTTACATGTGCCTGCTGGCAGATACTCAAAAATTGTTGTGCACACTCAGAAGCAAGCAAAAGTGACTCATTTTGGATTCTACTGCCCTAGCAAAATACGATGTTTGTCAATGGCAGGGTGAACACTCTGTTTATATATTTTTGTATGTGACAGGCAGTCCAACCCACTACAGGGGAAGTGGTTTTTGACAGTTTTCAGGACTCCTCATCTCGCTTAGAATTAGAGAGTCGAGTTTTGCGCCTGCAGCCAGTTGAACTACTGCTTCCATCAGACTTGTCGGATCAATCTGAGAGGCTCATCAGCAATATAACCTCTGTAAGGTATGTCGTTACATTATGTTGCAACTTTGGATCTGGAAGCCAGCAGTGATGCATAGTTTTCTAAAGTAAGACCTTCTTTGAAACTTTCACAGTTCACTGTTTGCATAAATATCCCCTTAACTGACATGATCTATCTGTCTAATATAAGTAGTTCTAATGTGCCCATCACTGTGGTATCTGAATGTGATGTTGAGCTGCTTGTGTATCTTATACCTTTAAGTTCTCTGAATGATTTGAGGCTTTTCCCCCTCTATAGCACTCTTTGTTAATTAGACATGGAGAATTAAATACCTGTTGGAAAGTTTTTGTACTTCCTATCCTATAAGACTCTCTTAAAACTGGTGGGACAGAAGCATTATGGCGATTCCATCATTTACATTTCAACATTTCCCTTATATTTTTAATGACAGATGCTTCAAAAGAAGGCTGGAGGCTCCTTTTCAATGGCAAATTTATTGTGGTATTCAGTCTGGGATAAAAATAGACTATAAAGCTGTAGCTGGATAGCATAGCCATGGGACCATAGGACAAGAGCACGCCATCTTTCTAAATGTGGCTTGTGAGCTTGCAAAGTCCTGCTGACACTCCTTATGGTTGCCATTTTTTTCTGAGAATGTAGTGTTAATTTTTTAATGGTTTAAAAAAAGTATACAAATGTTCAAGGAACTGTTTTCTTAGCTTTTAAAGAAGCCATAGAGATTTTCTTCTTTCACAGAGGGAGTCAAAGATGATGCTGGAATTGGGCAGGTCCCATGAGTTCCCGAACTTCATCCTGCAGGACTGCCACGCTTTTCAACTGATAGATTTGTAGCGGCAGCTTTCCTATATTTATACAGGAATTAGAGGAACAGGAATATATGAATTTGAAATGTAGCTCTGCTTTTCTAGATTTAAACATTATTGGTTGTGTGCAATCTGCATTTCCAGACAAGACACAGATTCTATGACAGATGCCTAATTATGGGAAAGAGATGTATATTAATATTTGAACAAATTAGCCAACTTGTAGAGGTTTGGAATTGCTGGCAGCTGGGAACAAGAAGACTTGTTCTTTGTCCAAATGGAAAAATAGATTAGCGGATGCTTTGACGAACAGGATTTTTTTTCTTGAAAACAATATCCTGATTGATAGACTTCTCTTCAAAAGGGTTTATTGACAGTTTTTAGCAATTTACACAGTGCCAGTTTATAAAAACATAGACTTCCTGTTCTAGGGAAAATACCTTCGGTTTAAAATAATGCAGCTGCTAGTTTTGTTAGTAATGTTTTAAGCTTTTATTTCATATGTTGGATAGCAAATTCCTAAATTGACTGAATGTTGACACAGTTATTGAGGTAAGATGCAAGCTCAGGAGAATTCCTCAGAATTAAGGAGGAGACTCTACATTTTGCTGATCTTCAGGTTTTTTCCAGATGTTTCAACATTAGAGTTGAAATGTTAAGATTTTCATTTTGTTATACTTTTATTTCAGATAGTTATATTAGGATCTTACTTATATGCATAATCTGGCAAAAAAGGTGTCCTAAACATTATTTATCAGGCAGCTAAAATGAACAGTTTTGTGTCTCTTTAGGAGTTGTCTCAGTTGTATAAGAGAAAGTGATACTTCATGTTACCTGCAAAAATTTCATCCTTGTTATGTGTTAAGCAGCCAGCATATCCAATTATATTTACCACAGTTACAAAGTGCATCTGGTTAGATGATATTTGATTAGAGATATGAGAGATTTCTGATAGTCCTTTGTACTAGTCAGATACGAATTGGACAAAATGCTGTTTCCCTTCCTGCTTGGAAACATTTATGTCGCATTAGATAGATCTAATATACACCTCAACCCCGATATAACGTGACCCGATATAACACGAATTTGGATATAACGCGGTAAAGCAGTGCTCCGAGGGGGCGGGGCTGTGCACTCCGTCGGATCAAAGCAAGTTCGATATAACGCGGTTTCACCTATAACGCGGTAAGATTTTTTGGCTCCCGAGAACAGCGTTATATTGGGGTAGAGGTGTATATATATTTGACTCAGCCCTGTTGACTGAGTCAAATTTGTCTGCAGTTTTAGGGGGTTTTTTTATTTAAAAAAAAAACAAAAAACGGTGATTGCCTGTTCATTGCCCATGCTGACAAAAGGTATAATATAGCTCCTCAGCATGGGTGGAGTTGCAGATATTCCAACATATTACCATTAACACAGGATTTCCTTTACAGTGGTGATGCCTTTGGAGAAACACTACTCTAGCACTGTGACTACACACCTGATTTTGGAGTCTTGTATTACAAACTTGCAATTGGCATGTCCAATGCCAGGGTTAGCTAATTAGAAAATGTGGTGGAAGGCAGCTTTAAATGTACTTTACAATAAAAAATAGAATAAAATGCCATAAATACCTCAAGTTGGATTTTCTGGCCAAACCACATGTAATTCAGTACTTACATTTTTCTTGAATATGCTGGACTTGCACTTGATTATTTAGTCAGAGACTTTCCGAAGTTAATTTATGGTGGAGGTGTCAAATACACAGTTGAGATTGAATGTGTCCTGTTGCCCATGTATACAGCTAGTATGGAAAAAGATACTGTAAGTAATGGACAAGGTTGCAGGCAGAACAATATCACTGGCTCTTTTTAAAATTGTGTAAAATCCATGATATTCAGCCAAGAAATGGCTTCTGTCAGAAATACAGTGCAGAAAGGATGAAATTCACATGCTCTGTTCCTGCACAAAGCCAAAATAAACAGACTTTGTGTGTAGAACTCTATGGGAGCTGGGGGATGAAATCCACCTCCAAATTGCAGGCAGGACATAGGAGAAGCGTAGCAGCTGTTTGAAGTCTTAGGCTGAAATAAAGGCCTCAGTTCTTCACATCTCTCAGGTGGTGATATATGGACGCTGGGTTTACATAACTGTGTGCTTGATGTCCACAGCTTGGCCCACCCTCAAACCTCACTGATGCACTGACTATGTAGAACTGGCTCAGATCCCAGCTTTGCCTTTGAGAGTATGAAAGAGGATCTCAGACATCTATTCTTCGATTTTCTTGGACAATGGAAATAAATAGTTAGTTTTAGGATGGATTGATTTAAATCAATGATTTTTATCATAAAAATGTAGGGACTTCAAGAGGTCATCTAATCCATCCCTCTGTGCTGAGGCAGGACCAATTACACCCAGCCCATTCCTGACAGGTATCTTTCCACCTGTTCTTAAAAACCTCCAACAATGGGGATTCTACAATCTCCCGTGGTAAAGTACTCTAGCACTTAACTATCCTTCTAATTAGAATTTTTTTCCTAATATCTAACCTACATTTTTCTTGCTGCAGATTAAGCTGTTATTACTACTTCTGCTACCTTCAGTGGACAGGGAGAACAATTGATCACATTCTCTTTACAATATCTCTTATATATTTGAAGACTACCAGGTCCCCTCTCAGTTGTCTTTTTTTCAAGTCATGCCTAATTTTTTTAACCTTTCCTAATTGGTCATGTTTTCTAAACCTTTTATAATTTTGTTGCTCTTCTCTGGACTCCAATTTGTCCACATCTTTCTTAAAGTTTAGCAGCAAAAACTGGACACAGTACCCCAGCTGAGACCTCACCAGTGTCAAGAAGTATGGAACAGTTACCTCTCATGTCTTACATATGACACTCCTCTTAATACATCCCAGAATGATATTAGCCTTTTTGGCAACTGCATCACATTATTGGCTCATGTTGAATTTGTGATCCATTATAATTGCCAGATCGTTGTCTGCAGTATTACCCCCCTAGACAGTTATGTCCCTGTTTTCTATTTGGGCATTTGATTTTTCCTCCTTAAGTGTAGTACTTTGCACTTATCTTTACTGAATTTAATTTTGTTGATTTCAGATCAATTCTTCAGTTTGTCAAGGTCATTTTGAATTCGAATCCTGTCCTCCAAAGTGCTAGCAACCCTCACAGCTTGGTGTCATATGCATATTTCAGGGGTTGCCAAATTTACTGATGTGCCCAGCCGCGTACAACAATCTTCAGAAATTTGAGAGCTGGGGCGCGCCTGCCGGGAGTTGGGGCTTCAGCACCTCAGGAGGTGCCTGCTCGGGCTCAGGGTTTCAACCCTGCTCCTGCTGAAGCCCCGAGCCCTGGCAGGCACATCCTGTGGGGCTGAAGCCTCAAGACCCCTTCCTTGCTGGGCAGAAGCCCCTACCCCACGACCCCGCTGCAAGGCAGAGGTCCTGAGCTCCCGCACCCCCCGTCCCCAGTCTGGTAGGTGGAAATGTGGGAAACGTGGGAGGCTTCGAGAGCCGCACTTTAACTATAAAAGAGCCGCAACTGGCTCACGAGCCAGTTTGGCAACCCTTGGCATATTTTATAAACACGCCCTCCACTCCCTTATCCAAGTCATTAATGAAAATATTGATTAGTAGTGGACACAAGACAGACTCTTGTAGGACCCCACTAGATATGTCTTCCCAGTTTGACAACGAACTATTGATAATTACTCGTTGACTCTAGTTTTTTATCCAATTTTGCACCCACCTTATGGTAATTTCATCTGGATCACATTTACCTACTTTGCTTACGAGAATGTTATGGGAATGCCATATTACTTTTCCAACAGATGTCTGCATAGTTAAAGTCCCCCATTACTACCAGGTCTTGTGTTTTGGATATTTATTTGTTCTAGAAATGCCTCATCTATCTCCACCTCCTGATTTGGTGGTCCATCGTAGACCCCTAACATGATGTTTCCCCTGTTTTTTCCCCTTTTATCTTCACCCAGAGACTTTCCACTGGTCTGCCTCTCTCATCCTTCTGAACCTCAGAACAAATTTATATATTCTTGATATTTTCCCCTTTCCTACCCTTCCTGAATAAGCTATATCCCACTATATCAATATTCCAGTCATGGGATTTGTTTCACCAAATCTCTATGATGCCAATTATGTCATAATTTTGCTGTGTACCAAGCCTTCCAGTTCTTCCTGTTCATTCCCCATACTCCTTGCATTT